CAGTCACAAATTTAGTGACTACAAAATCAGTCACAAAAAGTAGTCACAAATGGACTGTTTTCTTGTAGTGATCAAAGGATCGCCAATGTATCATGTCCGAAATCCGTTATTGCAACAATGGGTTCGAATCCCTCTTCCTCCACATCTCTCCTCCTTTGATGTGGTGAGGTTACAAGAGAACCAATATTTCAACGACAATGGATTGGTCACAAAGATGGAAAACGGTATTGCCGTGGGTTACAAGGTTGTCTGGATATTGGCCCCACATGTGTCTGCTAAACTCACTTTTATGATATATTCGTCTGAAACAAGAGCTTGGAAAACCGAAAATATGCGTTGTGTCTGTTCAATGATTTGGTCTAGACTAGAGTATTCGATTTCCCTGAACGGAATTCTTCACTGGCTTACCTCTAGTGATAACACCATGACGCAAATTATGTTGTATCCTATGATTTCTATAATAATGTTGGAGGTAATGATGGGTGTCGTTTGATACCTTTTCCTGATTACAAGAAACATGAAGGGACTCAGATGTTTCAAAAGAACAATCACAACGTCTGCTGGATTCGTAGTATATTGCAATATTTTCTCTTGTAACATGGGCAAGACAATCACGGTTTGGAGGCTGGTCTCTAGGAATTGTAATCCAAATTCATGGCAACTCTCGTGGAGACTCAACACAACCTCGTCTTTGATCGGATTCGGTGATGATTATTTTCCCGTGGTGATGCATCCTTCGAACTTCGACATCATATACATGTGGAGTAAGAACAAGAACGGTTTGGTCTTGTTAAACTTGAGGACACACAAGTTTAGTCTCCACAAGGAGTCCTCATCGGAAGAGGATGGATCGGAGAACAAGTCTATGGACGGTTGCACCATGAGTATTAGCGGTTGCAAGGAGTATATGGACTTGATCTATCCAAGTTACGTCAATGTACTATGCGGTGATTTACATAATCTCTACTTTTCACAGTACGTGCTCCCACGCTGGCTAAACCCGCTCCC